TTTTCCCTCTCCCCCACCCCTCCCTTCTTCTCTGACCAGTGGCAGTGTCTCCTCTCCTTTGTTCATCCCATCCCAACTCTATCCTTCAGTGCAGGTGGGGAAAGCTGGGGATGGGCCAGGAGGGAGGCATTATCATTGGGTTCTTTGCTATTTTAAAACTAAATTTAAGGACTGAAGGAAAATCCATGCTGGACTCTTTGCTGTAGTCATCACATCTATGCCCTGCCTACCACCTAGGGAACAGTTTTCTTAGCTTGGACACACGTAGTGTGTGGTATGTGTGGATATATGTGGGTGAGTGGATATGTGTGAATTTTTTTTCACCAGGATGGGATGGTGGTTTATTGATATCCTTCCTTATTAGGAAGAGTAATAATAATAATAATAATAATAATAATGATAAGCTGGGATGAGTGATTAATAATAATAATAAGCTGGGATGAGTGATATGTATATGGGGGTGTGGTGGTAAACAGTCATTTGTCAACCAGCTTTGGTTCTACTGGGCAAGAGAGTAGAGGGATGGATATCCTCTCCAAAGCCTTTTTAGTCTGAGAAATCTCTATCTTTCAGTAGGAGGGCTGAGGTTAGTGCCTACTTGGCTAGGTTAGCAGGGCCTGGAGTGAGCACCTGGAGTCAGGGGAGGTAGGGGAGCTGGCCTGGCTCGGTGTTTGTTGCTGTGCCCGGCTGTGTGCAGCTGCCCCACTCCCACCTCCATCCCTATCCTTCCAAGCCAGCACGTCCACAGAATAGGCCAAATGGCCTGTCCCTTATCTCCTGGGTGGCAGTTCTGAGTCTCTGACTTTGGGTCTAGTCTTTTCTTTCTAAAAACACTAACCGGCTTGTGCGTGCGTGCATGTGTGTGTGTTGGGCACAGAGAGAATGAGATGAACGCAGAGAGTGTGGGTTTCAATTTTTCCAAACTCGGTAGCAGCCCTGCCTCATGGCTTCCAGGAGTTCGCTGGAAAACAACTTGCAGATATTTAACCTCTGTTCCTCTTCTTTCTGTTGAAGCCCACTTTTACTTGTCCCGTTACTCAGTGGAGCTGAGAAACAGCAGGTTCCCAAACTTCATTTGTTTATAATCCTTCAAGGTTTTGGCACAGTGACAAGGTATTTTAATTTCTCCCTGCTTTTTGGGGGACGGAGAGGAAAAGACTTCCTGTCATAAAATCCTGGCTGTTTTCCCCTTTTCCTGTCACATTCATCCCCACTAGTCCCCTGTCCTCTTTCCCACATGACCCCAGCCCCAGGCCCTAGGTTAAAGAAATTATAGTAGCGCAGAACTCTCTTCCCTGGGCGTGTTGGGCTTCACCCCCGGCTCTCCTCATTAGCCCCGCCCAGCCCCTCAGCTGACCAATCACAGCCCCAGTGCCCTTGTGTTGGTGATGTCATCTCTGAGCCAATCCCGCGGCGGGCTGGGGCCGCGCGCTCGTCCACCCGTCAGTTCACGGGGAGGCCAGGTTCCCTTCCCCAACCTGAGCGGGAGCGAAGCCTGCGGGGTGGGGG